ATCATTTTCCATACTGTCAGTATAAATATACACAGTATACTGCCATCACTACAATATACATGTTTTACACACTTCTTTTGTTGTTGACATTTACAGGCTGTGTGCAAAAGGCCACACTCTTCAAATTCATGCCAACTAATATTTTTACGTCCAGTAGGTGTCCTACTAGAGCAAATGAAGCTTCAAGAAGCTTTGCGCTGGGGTGAACCAATTGGATGAAAAGCTTCAGTGCTTCATGAAGCTTCATCTGCTCATCTGCCCATCACTAGTTTAAACACAAAGAACTCAGCTTTATTTGCTGGCAGGAGAAAGTCATACAAAAGCAAACTAAACTGGAAACTCACAAACTAAACTCACAGTGAGACACAAGGAGATCCACACAGCATGAGGGATGACACGACACTGACTCAGAGAAACACAGGGTTTAAATACACTGGGAAGTAACGAGGTGAATGAGACACAGAGGGCACAGCTGGGAGAAATCAGGACTGACGAGACAAGCAAAGCAGGACACATTCACATAAGACACGGACCATCAAAGTAAAACAAGAAGTATGACACAGAGACGCGAACTTGACACGTTGGAGACAGCAACTAAGAAACACAGAGACATAAACCATAAGGCAGAGGACTCTAAGAACCAAAAGACACAGAGGGAAACTCAAACATGAAGACACAGACTTACACAGAACAGAGGGGACACAAAGAAACATGAAGGGCAAGGGATCGAAACTAGAAACCATAGAATAACTCACACAAGTACAATAATACAAAAATCACAAAGAACTAAACATGCTGGGTCAGGAGACCCAGGACCCTGACACATTCAGGTCATGGTAATCTAAGGAGCTTGGAAAAAAAGCCAAGTCACTAAAAGAAATGTCCTTGGAATCCCAAGTTAAGTTTCAGTTGTATCACTACAACTGAGGCAGAGGAGATGGTCAGAAAACAAGTACAGCAAGACAGCTCCTTAGAAAACAGAACCAGCTTCACCCCTGATCAGATGTGCACCTTGTTAGGCCTCTGGCTTACCACCACATATTTTAAACACAATGCAGGTTTCTGTAGAGGAAAACCTAGATGTGCCATGGGCACATTCTTTACATGGAGGAAGGGGAAAGTAAAACTCTTGGCTCTTATAAAGGGACAGCACCTAGCCACTGGTACAGACACCAACTAGGGATGAACAGAATGACAAACAGTGCTGGGGAGTAACACAATACATGTACCGGCGTTACGTATTTAAAATACAAAATATGAGTAACTGTATTGCGTTACAGTTACCGTTTAAATAGGTGATAATTAGAATACAGTTACTTTGTTGAAATAAACGGTTTACACAGCAGTCTTTTCCTGTTTCATGTGTTAGGCTCTTAGGCTCCCTCTTTAATTTTGGATTCTTAAACACTTTGCCGGAAACCCAAAGAAAACATGCGAGAGGCTCTAGTGTAAGCATCCTGTTAATGTTGGTGGCGTCAGTTATAAATGTGTCACTTCAGTCTCTTTGATGTACTATTGCTGTGTGATTTCGTATTATTACTGAAGGCTACTCGCCACCAAGCTAACATTGTTAGTTGGCGTTAGCTAAGGTCAGTTCGCAGACTACAGACTGTTAGACTTGATGGACAGCATTAACAACCTGCTAGCTGCAAACAATCATGTGCAGTTCTGAAAGCAGACAAAAAGAAAACATATTACTGATGAAAAAGTTTTCTATACGAAATCACTGCAAGAAGTGCAACCTTACCTAGTGTTTCTTTACTGTTACTTATTATTCATATCTTTAACATGTTTCTTTCCACATGTTTCTTTTTCCATAGCCGACAGCACCTCTGTCACTGTGGACGGGTCACTGTCACATGTTGAAATGTAACTGATGCAGTTTTAGAACGGTCAAAAACAGCTGAATTTAATTCTTTCATCTAGATTTTAATAGTACAGAATTAGCCATTTTTAAATATGTTTCCAGCTTGTTTCTAATGATATGATACAGTATGAAAGCATGTAATGTGAGATAAAATGATATATGATCTGATACTCCTTTGCAAACTGACCAGAACCATTGGTGTCCTACAATAGTCCACTCTCAGTGAAGTAGTGTGTGTGGCTGTCACCTCCAAGAACAGGAACTATTCTTTGAGAACTAGCCTTCTTTCTAGTTACAGCACCTCTTCCATTGTGTCTGCCTGCAATGGCAGATCTAGAAAATTGTACTTTACATTGGGTGGGGGCAAATCAGTCTAGGCAGGGTGGCACATACCTCTTAGTGAAGTATGTGGAAATCTGCCTGGTCTCCTCTGAGTTTAAGCCATGACTTGGGGACTGAAAGCAGCAGTTGCCCAGCTGACCGGAGGGAACTAGTGGTTACATAAGGCTTCAACAAATCTGACAAATAAATGGGTGCCAAACCATTTAAGGATTTAAAAAAACAATAAAAGAACTTTAAAACGGATCCTAAATTTGATTGGAAGCCAATGTAGAGAGGCCAAAACCGGAGTGATGTGGTCGAACTTTCTTCTACCAATTAAAAATCAAGCATCAACATTAACAGCAGCATTTTGAACTAATTGTAAGACCAGCCCCTATTAAAATGGAATTACAGTAATCCAGGCGTGAAGTAATAAAGGCATGAATTACAGTTTCGAAGTTACATTTGGAGAGAAAGGGCTTGACTTTCGATAGACGTCTGAGGTGGTAGAATGCTGATTTTACCACCCCATTCACGTGGTCATCAAAGGTAAGTGCAGGATCGATCTTTACTCCAAGATTTATGTTTGAACTCTTCAAATGAGAGGTCAGAACAGCAAAATCAACATCTGGAGGGTTGGAAAATTGATTTGGGCCAAGTAAAATCGCTTCCGTTTTATGATCGTTAAAATAAAAAATAAAAAATTGCCATCCATGACTTAGGCAGTTAAGGAGAGGTTGAATTGGGAAGGTATCCGCATGACTAAAAGGTAAATAAAGCTGGCAGTCATCAGCATATAAATGAAATGACACATTATGTTTTCGGAAAATCACGCCAAGAGGGAGAAGATATAGCCAAAATAAAAGATGCCCAAGAATAGATCCCTGCGGCACGTAGAGGGGCCACAGAGGATGAAGCCCCCAACATACCCCAACATAACACGAAAACCTTTGTTAGACAGGTATGATTAAAACCACAACAGTGCCAAGTCAGAAATTCCCACACAATGGTAAAGGTGGGAGATCAATAGATTGTGATCCACTGTGTCGAAGGCAGTGGTCATGTCCAATAAGACCAGCACTGCATATTTACCACGATCAGCAGCTACCAGAACATCATTGATAACTCTTACAAGGGCTGTCTCCGTGCTGTGAAAAGGCTTAAAACCGGATTGAAAAATTTCAGACAACTGGAAGTCATTCAAGTAGTCCATCAGCTGAGTATAAACAATCCTTTCCAAGATCTTACTTAGAAAAGGAGGCTTAGAGATAGGTCTAAAATTTGACAAGACTGAGGTATCTAAGCCAGGTTTCCTAAGCAAGGGATGTATAACTGCGTGCTTAAACTCACTAGGTACTTGACCAGACAAAAGAGTAGTGTTAATAATGTTCAGAATGTGAGGTCCAATAATACGAAATACCTTTTGGAGAAAGCGGGAGGAACCACATCATTCGGAGAACCACACGGTTTAGCATTTAACACCAGTTTCTCTAAATCAGGCAGAGCAATTGGTAGGAAGGCAGATAGCAATCATGAGCACAAAACATGCTTAGAAGGGTCGGCAATAGAAGGAGTTGGAGGTCTCATGCTTTCAACCTTGTCCACAAAGAAATTAATAAACTTATTACACAAAGCCTCAGAGGACGGCACGGAAGCATAGCAAGTACAGAATTTATAGTGTTATACAGAACACAAGGGCTATGCCAGTTTTCTTCTGAGTGGCTGCTACTCAGAAGAAAAAACAAACAAAAAAGAAAAACAAAAGTAGGTGCACGGTGAAAACTAAATGTCTGAGATGACCTTTAGTACAAATGTACAAGTTACATCTGACCCAAAAGCTCAGACTGCTTTCAAACACTGTTTCAGAGCGTTTTTCTACTCTTGGCTACCAATCTCATTGTTTGCAACATTGGCCAAATTCAATATGAGCATCAAGATGCCTGGAAGCATGATAGTTCCTTCTTCGTAATTAAAGATTGTTAAAGTTGTTCATAATACAGAAATACAAACATGTAGTTACTAGGGGTGGGCTTAAAAAAATCGATTTCCCCAAATCAAAACTATTTTAGTTTGAATAATGCGATATCGATTCATTAAATCCTGTATAAATGTATTTTGCCAGAAACACCAGAATCTCAGGTTAAAGCTGACAAAACTATTTCAACAACCATCAAACAGCTAAAACAGCAAATAAGAGCAGGTAAACAGATTCCGCAAAAAGATGTAAACACAAAGCACGGATCTCGCCATTCACCCGGTGACACATACGCGACACGCCATCGGGTGCCGAAAGTCGACATGTCACAGATTCTGAAACTGCAGGTTTTGTCACTCTCCCACCAAAATTCACTGAACCAGCAGCAAAAGAAGATCAAAACTACGCTTCATGTTTGAAAAACATTAACATGATTTCTCTCTTGCTTTTGCTGTTCTGCTTCCACCAAGATAAAAATCATACTTCCTGCACAGCTATGTGTAGACCAGTTTACCATCAAAAATCTGTTTTCTGCATTATTCGTTTGCTTATCAAACACCAGTCTACGTTGTGCACAGCACTGTTGCCCGCTAGTTGGAGGTCAAAAATGACCTCCAACTAGAAAGTCTAATTTCTGCTGTTCAATATCGAAAAGATTTTAGTTTTTACAAAATATGCCTAATTGCAAAATACTTACCGCTGCCTCTAATAAAACCCCTGCAAAAAGCCAGGCCAGGAAAATCTCCTTTATGTTTTTCTATGCTTTATCCTCAGTTACTTTGACACAATTTTGACTGTCTGAGTCAAAACTGAATCAAATCAAATCAGTTATAGAAATAGAAAATCAATACCCAGCCCTAATAGCCCTATTACATAACTGTACATTTCTAAGTTGATCATCGTTACTTGTCAAACATATAGAAATGTTTCCAAGTGTCAGGACATCACTGCTTATATAAGCTTGGTGTACAAATGCATAAAAAAGCATTGTGCATTACGTTTGCCCTAGCAGGTATAAGTGAGCGACATTTACAGAAGTGATATCTGTGTGTGTGTGTAGGAAGGCACATGTGTCAGCATATATGTGTATTCATCTGTCTGTCTACCTGGGTGATACAGGCCCCGGTGAAGGCCACGATGACAGCCACTACGTTGACTGTGAGCTGGAACTGCAGAAACTTGGAGATGCTATCGTAGACGTTTCTTCCCCACATCACCGCCTTGACAATGCTGCTGAAGTTGTCATCAGTCAGGATAATGTCAGACGCCTCTTTAGCCACGTCCGTCCCTGCGATACCCTGACAGAGATTGAGACAGAGTGAGGGGGAGTCAGAGACTCATGACATGATTCATGCAAGCATTCAAGCATCCAAATTACTTTGGAGTGCTACTGTCTCAATATCATGCTGTCCTGCCTCCAAGTGCTACCACTTGGCATGAGTAAGAGCTGTGGCCAAAATAAAATGTGCACTACTCAAAACACTTGTTATTACAAAGTACAATGGAAAATACTCTATCCTTTACAGATTTATAATAGATGTATTTTATACATCTTGAATCATAAAAAGATTTACTTCAAAAATACAGAATAAGAGACTGATTACTACAAAAAATGTCATGACAGAAGCACATTAATCCCAAATAAACACTAATGGTGAACAGTATCTCAGGTTACCATGGCAAAGCCCACATCAGCCTTCTTCAAAGCTGGGCCGTCATTAGTTCCGTCTCCTGTTACTGCAACAACCTGCCTCTGTTCTACAACGCTGCTATCAATGATGCCTGGGTGCAAACACAAAGGAGGAAAAAAAACAGTTTTAATTGGCAGTGAATCGGTTTGTATATGAGTGTGTGTTTTGGTTTATGGACTCACCTTTAACCAAAGTGTGTTTATCAGTTGGTGAGGACCGAGCCAGCACGCGCAGTTTGGGCCAGATTTTATCGATACGCTCCTGTTCAATCTGTTAGTTTAAAACAAAGAAAAGCCATTAACTAGTCTCTGCTTTAACTACATGTCACTGTCGATTCAAAGCGTTAAACATGTTACAAAGGTGTGACTGACAGAAAAAAATAATAAGGAGAAGAAGCACTTGATTCTTATATACTGCCCTCCCTCATTCAGTGTAACCATCCTGCACCCTTGTATAATGATCACTTACACACAGCATTTTTAAGTGTACATTTAAATTCATACTGCATAGAAAACTAGAGCCACAGCACTAATCAACAGCCATCTATTCCATTAAGCATTCTGCTAAATTTAAAGCCTAAAGCTAAATAGGCGGGATAAAAGCATTGCCCATACAAATTTTGCCTTTTATTGTGTGCACTAACTACAGTGGATACAGCCATGCCAGAGGTAATCTGAACCTCTTTATATTGGTTGCAAACCCAAATAGCTTTCCTTTGATAATTTAACTGATTTTAGGTGCCATCTTTGTGCAAGTGGACTATGAAAATAGAGTAGCTAATATTCTGTGTGCTGCATCCTGCATGCTCTGTCTAGGCATCTACCTCGCACAGTGTACTTCCTGTAATTAGAATGCATCTGACTCCTAGTGTGTTTCATTTTAGATTTGTGAATTATTTGTGATTTGTGAATAGTTTCTCCTCCTGTCATGGTCTGGCAGCCCTCGCCAGTCAACCTTCACCCGATGTGTCTGTGTATTGTGTTTTGTTTTGGTCTTGGCTCCCCTCTGGTCCTCTATTTCCCTGTTTGTGTGTATTTGTTTTTGGACGTGTGTGTGTTTCCGGAAGTCCAGTTGCGAACGTCTGCAGACCCTGAAGATTTCCTGCACTGAAGTCAGCCACACCTACTGCTCATCAGTTCTCGCCAGCTGCAGCTGCTTGTCATCGCGGGCAGCCTCCCTACTTAACTGTGTGGCTGAGCTTCAGTCGATGCTGGATTGTTGAGTTTAGTTGTCAGTATAGCCCCAGCTCAATAGTGAAAACTTTGTGTGTATATCTGTGTGTTGCTCGCTAGACTAATCGTTGCGTCTTGTCTTGCCAGGATTTGGGATTGGAGCCCCTGTACAGAATGAAATTTGGAGTTTCCCGATACACGCCACAGACATGAACACTGTGTGGGATTTGGGAGAAATCGCCACGGGGGCCACAGTGCGGGGATTGTCACATTGTTATTCACCTTTGTTCACTGTAAATAAATTAACTGTCTTTCTTTTGGAAAAGTCCTGTGTTTGGGTCGGATTCTTACCACAGATGTCACACCTCCCAAATGTCATAAATTGAATTTATTAGTTTTTTAGAAAATTGAGCCACCTATGACTTGCATATCAGTTTATCAGCATATTTTACATATTGACATTAAATAAATACAAGCTTATATATAATAAATGTAACCCGGATTAAAAAGATGCATAAATAGTAAAAGATAAGTAAAGTCTGAGAATATAAATACCAAAGAGTAAAATTCATTTGTTCAATTTCCTTGTAAACATGTTTGCATTGTTTAAAATAAGTTATCTTTCTTTTATTGGGAATTGCTTGTGAGAACTGTAATTTCCTACGGGGATATGGTCTGTGAAGGTAACACAGGGTGGAGAAGGAAAAAGAGAAAAAAAAAGACAATTCAAGGAGAGAGGGCAGGCTTGCGTGAGTTACACTGAGCATCCGGAGAAGTTAGCTTGTTTGTATGTAATGTTAGTAAGTGTGTTTTGACTTTTCGGAAAGACAAGTCACAATGTCTATAAGCTAGTGACATTACACATAAAGTTTCAGCGTGAGTCTGCTGGACTGTGTGTTTTGTTTCTTGTGGCCGCGCACGCATTGAGTTAAAGTGAGGCTAACCCAGCCATTCGCTAATAAGGACTACTGTAGACTGCCGTTTCACTAAAGTTGTGAAACGTAACAATCTGCAGAGGATCGTTACTGAACTGGATAACAACGGACAGACCCCAGATAGTCACTCAGAGTACCTCTGGCAATGTGGGAAGCATCCTCATATACAATGTGGTTTACATTGTATATGAGGAGATTCTGTGTACAGCTGGTAAATTGCTGTGTGTTTTTTGCTTTGCCTGAATACTGAAACCTGCCATTTTATTATTTTATTGTTTTAATTGTTTGGTAAATTGAAGGAGGGTTGCAATGCTCTACTTTACATGGTGTATGACACGATTTACTGCACTGTAGACACTAGTGTTCATTTTCGCGTGTAGTACTACTGTTAAGGAATAAGCTTCATTGATCCCAGAAACAAAAGAGAAGTTAATTTAAAAATATCGTACGAGAGTACACTAGAAAAAGAACCCAAAGCCCATTTATTTAATGGTATTGAGTAAATGAGGGCTACATAAAATGGAGGCACCGCTGGGATGTTTTTGAGTTTCATAGAAGTATTAAAGGGGCAACATGCTAAAAAAAAAAAAAAAGTTAACCTACAGTAGCTAGTTTACATTTCTTAGTATTTTTGGCTACAAAGAGTATGGCAGACCACACCAGGCTTGCTGCAGAGCTGAAGAGTTGGTGTCGGGGTGAAGGTTTGGGGGAAGCTAAAGCAGTCTTGGTTCTGGTTCCAGAAGAAGTGGAAATAGCCCAGATAGAAGAAACCTTGGAGACTATTAAGTGTCTAGGGCGAGTCCGGGTTACAGGGCGCTTGTTCCACACCCCCTTGAGCTGCCTAATGGTTCTCTGTGAATGCAAACAAAGTATACCTAAAGATAATGCACCCAAGGAAGTGCTGGACCAGCACAGTGGTGAGAAATGGCCGATAGTGACTCTTAATGAATGTGCAGCTCCTGACGATTTTGCTGTGAAGTTGAAGAGTCTCTTAGACACTGAGGGTAGGACTATGAAAGACATATACAAAGCATATACAATGCCTTGCTCCGCCACAGCCCAGCTCTGATCCTTCCATAAACTCCACTGAGTCTGTCTTGCAAGCGGTTGGTGATTTTTTGGAGAAGGCACGTAAACCACAAGCTGAAGGTGGTTATTGGCATTTGAGGCTGTTTTCAGGGAACTTGTAGCTGGTATAGGGCTGTCCTATACCAGCTACAAGAAGGGGACCTAAGGCCAGTTGCATTTGCCAGCAGGAAGCTAAGTCAGGCTGAGAAGAGGTACCCCATACATCAGCTGGAGTTCCTGTCGTTAAAGTGGGCTGTGGTGGATCGCTTTCATGACTATCTGTATGGGGTGCACTTTACAGTGCGTACAGATAATAACCCATTGACTTATGTTCTGTCTACGGCAAAGCTCAATGCCGTGGACACAGATGGTTAGCTGCTTTGTCCACATATGACTTCGATGTCCAATACAGACCAGGCAAGCATAACATAGATGCAGACATCCTCTCCAGAAACTTTGACACTGACACTGAATGGGAGACTATACCAGAGGCAGCTGTTAAATCCATCTGCAAAAGAGTACGTGTGTCAGAAAGCCCAGAGTTACCCACCAGATGTGTCGACCAAACCGGGGCTTCCCCGGAATGAATCCCTGACATCTATGCATTTCCTCTTACGATGGAGTTACAGTCACTGGAACACGTCTCAAAAGCTGATCTCGCTAAGGCACAGAAAGAGGATCCAGTCATTGGTCCAGCGGTCAAAGCTGTCCAACAGAATGTATGGACAGGCAACAGTCCGGAGCTGTTGCTCCTAAAAAGAGAGAAAGATAAGCTGACTCTGCTGAGTGATGGTCTGCTCTACCGCATCACCAAATGTCACTCAGGGGAGGAGGTCCGTCAGCTAGTCCTGCCAAAGGTGTATCATGATGTTGTGTTGAGATCAGTACACAATGACTCAGGACACCTCGGCATAGAGGGAACTCTGGATTTACTCCATCGAAGGTTCTACTGGCCAAGAATGTTGCAAAACACTGCGCAACATATCAAAAGTTGTGGTGAATGCATAACACGCAAGACTCCTGCCCAGAGAGCCGCACCACTTCACCAGATCTCCAGCAGTGGACCTATGGATCTGGTGTGCATTGACTTTCTCTCAATGGAGACGGATTCCAAGGGCATAAGAAATGTCTTAGTGGTCACCGATCACTTCACACGCTATGCCCAGGCATTCCTGACCAAGAATCAGACACTCAAACAGTGGCCAAAAACTTAGTGGATAAGTTTTTTGTCCACTATGGTCTTCCGGCTCATATCCATTCAGACCAGGGGCGAGACTTTGAGAGTCTTCTGATCAAAGACTTGTTGAAGAACATGGGGATACAGAAGTCGCGCACTACTCCGTATCATCCGCAAGGAGACCCTCAGCCAGAGCGGTTCAATTGAACGCTGCTTTCAATGTTGGGTTCACTACAGAAGAACAAAAAGGGCTATGACAAGAGAGTTGGTTTCCAGTCTCTAGAAATAGGAGACAGAGTCCTATTGAAGAACTGGGGTCTCAAAGGGGGGTGGGGTGACTGTAGCTCAGGTGGTAGAGCAGGTCATCTACTGATCGGAAGGTTGGTGGTTCGATTCCTGGCTTCGCCTAGTCTGCATGCCAAATATCCTTGGGCAAGATACTAACCCCAAAATTGCTCTCCGATGCATCCATCGGAGTATGAATGTGTGTGAATGTTAGCTATAAAGCACTTAGAGAGATGTGCTTGTGCGAATGGGTGTGAATGGGTGAATGCACAAGTTGTGTAAAGCGCTTTGAGTGCTCAGATGAGTAGAAAAGCGCTATATAAGAACCAGTCCATTCAAAGGGAAGCACAAGTTGCAAACAAGATGGGGTCCAATACCTTACCAAGTTGTTGGAAAAATGCCCAATCTCCCTGTCTACCAACTAAAGAAGGAGAATAGAAGTGGTCGTCACATCCACAGAGATCACATCCTTCCTATTGGCCAACATGTAAAATTGCCAATCTCTGAAGTAGGCAATAACTGTTGTGACAGACAAAAACCAAAGGGCAAGAAACCAAAGCAGGCCACAGTTGTGTCTGACCCTCAGCTGTCACAGGATTCTGATTCGTCGTCAGAGAGTGAGTACTATGAGCC